ATCCTTTACCGAAAAAGGAGTTTTTGGATATAAGTTCTGATGCAAATGGCCAAGTGGATCATATTTAGAAATGCTTCACAACAGCAAACCACATTGTCGAGCATAAAGAACGTCTGCAACATAACTCTGATATTGTTATTTCTATGATTAATAAAATAAACTCAACAATAGGTCACCTCTTTAAAAAGTGCTTTTATTAGCTTTTCAGTTGACGAATTTCTGTGTATACTAACTTTGTCCGAGGTAACCTCAAAAGGAAAATTGAGATTTTTGATACTTTCTTTAAATTTACCTAATGATAAATGATCCAATTTAAGTGGGAATGAAAGAACTCACTTTTCTCCTTCTATTGGATTAGTTTTAGCCATACTGGATTACTTCTAGGCTCCGTTCTAAGCTTCCGAATGCAAAAAAGTGTGGCCATATCTATAATAGGATAGTTAGCTAATTATTCTTCTTCTGCCTGTTCCGTTTCTAGATAACGCATAAGCGGAAAGCATAGTTTACAAAAATGTAAATTTCTACAGGAATTGAATTTAATAAGACCCGTTGTACATTATGTTCACGGTAACATATATGTACACTTTGCTCATGTGCCATATAGGCGATGTGGTAAAACAAAATTTGACTAAAACTTTTTGGTACTGCATATAGTGGAAAAAACTTCACAGGTTAGCTTAACATAATTTTTAAAACTTAAATGGTTCCTTCTTTCTGAAAATAAATGCGATTCCTCAAACTTGGCCTCACTCGCATCTGCATAATTTCGGATATTTTTTTCGATTCTGGAGGAGATATGTTCTACACTTTATTTTCTTATTTTGGGGTTATCCCATTGCATGATGCATATTAATAAAATTTTTGGTTCTGTCAGACTTAATAGCATAGAAAATTCCTTCGATATGAGACTTCTCCGAATTTCGGCAAAATAAATGCACATTACCTTGAATAAACCTAACTAAAAGGCTTTCGAAGCGTTAAATCTACTCAGAGGGTCAACATAACGTGACCAAATATATACTACACTACCAAGTTAATTTTCGCCATGACTTTTGCATGCAGCACTCGCTATACTGTATATTTAATTGAGAGAGAGCAAGAGAATCAGTTACGTGGGAAGGGCCAGGCACCATGACAACTCTGACAACATTAAGTATAATTGTCGCGCAATTATCAAGCCCGCATCCGACACGGACAACGAAATCGCGGTAATTAATGGGTAGAAAGCGAAGTGTCAAGCCATTACCGCACCAATTATGACCCTTAGCGATGATTACAGGAGTTGATAAGTATTGTACGCATGCGAATGACCGCTGCAAACTATAGATACCGTGCAATCTGCGCATGTCTCACACTATCCTTTGGTTACCTATGATTAAGGATTCTCGACCGAATCCGAAACGTCAGGAAAGTTAATTTCTCGTCCCAGTAATTGCATCTTCTTCTTCTTAACTGCTTCTTGGGACTCGCACATTCCCTTCTATGAGATATATTTGTTGCATAAAAAATGACCCTAAAATACTTCACTTTAGGACATACTTTTAGCCTATAGGTTCTCAACGCAACGCTCACTAACGTTCCTGGCCTGTCCTATGCAGTTTTTCGTTAAAGGCCAAAAAATGTCTTTAATATGTTTACTTTAATCTAATCAGTTTCCTTCTTTTCTATGAAAGGAAATTCTTCATCGAATTCCGACGTATCATTTCTATTGTTCCTTAACTTCATGCATTGCTGTGGAAGTAAAGATTTCGCTTAAAATCTCAATGCTTTTAGAAGGAATTTCGTCATTCTATTCACCGTACATCCTTAAACCAGCTACATGTCCTTAGTTGTTGCTCACTATGTTAAGGTAAAGATCACAAAAACACCTGTCTCGAAGAGTTTTCTTTTGCAGAGTAAAAATACTTACTGCATGAATTCTAGAAACCCTGGCAGTTTGTTCGTGCAAAGAGGCAACGCTTAGCCTAGTTTCTCACTCTCGCTCTCCTCAAATCTTCCTTGTTTTATGATGGTATATAATTTAAGCTAAGGAGCAAGGTTTTCCGTGTTTCTTTAAGGTTTGGATCAAGACGCTTACGGGAAGTACCGGTGCGTTTTCGAACTCGCTGGCTCTGACAGCATCGGATGGGACGTCTTCCTTCGTGGTAATTTGTGCTTCTTCTGACCCTTCATTTCAGTACTTGTCCTTGCTCGTTGCCTTCAATTGTTTTACAGGTTATGTTGAGCGCTGATCCGGACTTTGAATGAAGATTTCTTGCAGATTTTTTGATGTTCACCATAGCCGGCTGTGCCTCTCTGTTCAGTCAGTCCTTCCTATATTCCCTCGTTAAAATGGCAACACAGAAACACAGTTTCTGACTTTGGCGGACGTGACAGTACAAGCACTCTTCGAATGTAAGGCTGCGAGCCATAAAACCTGTCAGCAAAATTAGTGGTCGCTACGGTGATATGGATAATCAGATAAATACCGGATCCCCAAATCATTAACACCGACCTTCCAAGGGCGGTAAATATGTACAGTACGGCCTAAAATTCGTGTAACATGCCGACATTTGCGAAATATTGATACTCTCGCTAAGCTGCACTGTGTTATGTTGTAATACTGGTTATCATTTAGACTATTCTCAAGTCATTTCAGTCACGACGGGATGTCTGCTTTCAAGCGAGTTTCGTTGTGACCGCTAACAAAGCATATATACTGCAAACCGTGACTACTTACTTATTATGCATTTTTATCATTGCTCTTGACTGCCTTTATAAATTCAGAAGTATTTTATGTTAACCATACATGTTAAAAAGCAGTCATCCTATTGTGACTGAAATGACTTGAGAGTAGTCTACATGATAATCAGTATTACAAAATTAATCAATGCCGATTAGCGAGAGAGTATCAATCTTTCGCATATGTCGGCATGTTACACGAATTTAAGGCCATACTTTATAAACTACAGAGCACTGCAGTCCCACTTTTTCACGTTACCGTCATTCTCAAAATTCCTAGCAGTGTGCTTTATCTTATCAGGTGTCTGTTGGATAAATGGTAGCACGTCATCGCCTGGTCCTTTGGTGTGATCAAATTCAGACGGATTGAGGCATCCCTGTCTAAATGAAGAATCAGTATGGTCAATCAGTGACCCAGTCCGAATACGGTTCTTATTCTTCCCAAAAAAATATATCGGATTTGGACCTGGGCGGGTAATTCTAACAGAAAACTAAACGAGCGAACTGACCGCAATTGACCTAACCATTTTTTTTTACCAGAACCGATACGTATCTCTAGATGCGTGGACAAAAACGCCTAGTCGGAGGGGTGACACAGGTATCAATTTGTTCAAATACCATTTGCTTTTAGTACTATGAAAGGTTTCGCAGGTGACCAGCTGTAAGGGTCGTCTTCAAAGTGATTCGTAGTTGGCTTCCGACTAAATTGTTCGGTTAATGTGGCCGAGGCCATTTTGTTTGACCTTGAGACCATCTTGTCTATCCCGGATGCCTCCCTTGTTAAGTCACAGATTTAAACTAAAATACATGATTTTAGAAAAATATTATCACCATATTTTGCGTGTACGC